AAAATAACAATGAAGTAACACTACATATCTATTAAAATGGCTGAAATGTTAAAAACTGCTAATAACTATCATTGGTAAGGACATGGAGAAACTGGAAATTCTCATATATTCAAAATGTTATAGCCACACTAGAAAACAATTTGGCAGTATACTATAAAGCCAATCATCAAGTAATCTACATAGGCTCATACATATTACAGAAATTATGTCAATAATTTAATAATCTTCCAAAACAGAAAGCACCACTGGTGGGTTTACGGGTGAATTCAACAAACATTTAAGGAAGACATTATACCAATGCTCTACAATCTATTTTAGAGGATAAAGCAGAAGGAACACTTCCTAATTCAATATATGAGGCCAGCATTACCCTAATACCAAGACATGGTATGTAACTACAAACCAGTATCTCTCATAATCATAAATGCTAAAATCCTCAACAAACTGTTAGCAAATAAAATCCAAAAATGTATTAAAAGAATTATACACCATAACCAAGTAGGATTTATCCCAGATATGGAACACCGGTTCAACATTATCCATCGTATCAACAGGCTTTAAAGATCACATGATCATAACAATAGATGCAGCAAAGGCCTCTGGCAAAGATCCAGTACCCACTCATGATAAAATTTCTTAGTAAATGAGAAATAGAGGAGAACTTACACAACTTGGTAAGTACCTACAAAAAAATCAATAGCTAACATAATGCTTAATGGTGAGAAACTATAAGCTTTCACACTAAGGTCAGATAAAAGCAAGGATATTCTTTCTCACCACTCCTTTTGAACATCATACCAGAAATTTTAGCTAATGCAATAAAACAAGAAAAACAATTAAAAGGTACACAGAGGGGCGCCTGGGTGGCTCAGTCCTTAAGCGTCTGCCTTCGGCTCAGGTCATGATCCCGGGGTCCTGGGATTGAGTCCCACATCGGGCTCCCTGCTCGGCAGGAAGCCTGCTTCTCCCTCTCCCACTCCCCCTGCTTGTGCTCTCTCTCTTGCTGTGTCTCTTTCTGTTAAATAAATAAATAAAATCTTAAAAAAAAAAAAAGTACACAGATTGGGAAGGAAGAAATAAAACTGTCTGTTCACAGATGAAATGATCTCATATAGAGAAAATCCAAAACAACTATTGAAAAAATCCAGGAACTAAGTGATTAGAGCAAGGTTGCAGGATATAAGGTTAATATACAAAAGATACTGCTTTCCTATACACTAGCAATGAAGAAATGGAACACTGGCCCGTATGGTATGGTCTGCATACCATATGGCCCAGTAATACCACTTCTAGATATTTTTCCAAGGGAAACGAAAGCATCTTTCTATACAAAGACCTATACAGAAATAACTTGTAACAAACTGATTCATAAGCCAAAAATAACCCAAGTGTCCATCAATAAGTAAGTAACCTGTAGCCCATCTGTACAGTGGAATAGTACCCAACAATACTAACAACAAAGTACTTGGAACACATAAACATGGATGAATCTCAAAACTGTTAAACTGAAAATTACATAAAACAACATACTATGTGATTTCATTGATATGAAACTTTAAAAAAGACAAATATAATCTATAGTGAGAAAAGTAGATCACAGATTCTCTACAGCTAGGTATATAGGGTTCAGGACTGACCAAGAAGTACTGATTCAAGTTTTCTACATCTTAATTGTGGTAATGGCTACTGGGAAATATACTTTTGATAAAATCCTTTGTGAACTTGGTATAGGAAATACATCATACGTAATTGGTGGCTATACAAAACTATATTAAATTTTTTTGGAAATGGGGCGCCTGGGTAGCTCAGTCAGTTAAGCACCTGCCTTTGGCTCAGGTCATGATGTCAGGGTCCTAGGATCAAGCCCCACATCAGGCTCCCTGCTCAGCAAGGAACCTGCTTCTCCTTCTCCCTCTTCCTCTGCCTGCCACTCCCCCTACTTGTACTCTCTCTCTGTCAAATAAATAAGATCCTATAAAATAATTAATTAATTTCTTGGGACAGTTTACTTAAGCAAAACCATTGCAAGTGGCTCAGAATGGTGGAATGAACATATTTCTTTACTAAAATGATATGAAAGAACAAAAAAGTTACAATCCCACAGGTGAAAAAGAAGAAAAAGGAAGATCATGACAGAAATGAAATGTCAACAAAACTGTGAAAGCTAGAAGGCATATGGACAAATGTCAAATGACATAACAAAATAAAGAAGGTTGAAACTTAAGTTCCCATGGAGGAGAAAAACAAGAATCACATATTTGATATTCCTCAGAAGATTAAGGACAAGGAGGCATCACTTAACACAAACAGTTCAGGAGAAGTGTGGAATGAAAGCAGGAAAATTGGTTGAAAGGCTAAATAAGGAAGAGTCACAGACCTACCAGATTGCAAAACTAGTCCATTATTAAAGTAAGGTGACTAACCCACTTGAAAAATTCTGGGAAGTACGGTGCATGGGAAAATAAGTATCTAGGAAATAAGAGATCTAAAACAAGAAATGGATGAGGAAATTCCCAGAAAAGTGAAAGTAGATGAAACAGACCAGATTAGAAGTGGGGGGGAAAAGGCTCCATCAGTGTCATTTCAAAGAAAAAAAATAAACTGATCATTTACCTGATGTGTTAGTTACTGAGGAATTTTAGGGTTTTGCTAAATACATAGGAAATTAAGTAGTCAAAAGTATGGAGAAAATAAGACAAAAAATCCAAAACATTATTAACTCTAGGAAAAGCAAACAAAAAAGGACAAAGGAATGTAATCATCATATACTATGTGTATATACACATGTATATGTGTATGTATGAGAAATATATGCAATATACACTACATAGCCCTTTTGTGAATATTTACATAGTTATAGTTATGAAAACTATTCCACCAGAACTGTGGTATAACCATACTGAGAGAATGGGAGGAGGAAACTCTGTCTTTGGCAGGCAGTATATGAGAACTAAATCCACAACTATCACATAATAATGGTAATGCCTAAAACTGAAAAATAAAGAAACAGCATTATAAGCATATTAAACAGAAACATACAAGTAAAAGCAAAGAACAGCTAGAAGAATTGAGTCATTACCTTTGAGTAGAGTCTGGGTAAAACAGAAGACTATTGATTTTTCAATGTAGCCTTACGGTAATATTTGATTTTTAAAAAGCACACAGATTCAATTTAGTAAACAAAAAAAGTTAATTAGAAAATAAACATTATAAAACAATGAAAAGTACAGGGAACACGTTAATATATATTTAAATTATATGAAATAAAAGGAAGAGGAAAATACAGCATATACCACATACAGTGACTACAGTTATGTGAAACACCATGTATGTAAGATATGTGAGATACAAGTAGAGTTATATATTACCACCCATGAGTATTTTTGCCAAAAAAAGAACTGAATCTAAATCTGATCAGATCTCTACATCCAAGAGTTTATAGGACATACGGGAACCAGTGAAAATACACCACAGAAATGTGACCAGTAAAGCTCAAATATAGGAAATTCTACACAAATAATCTAGCTTTTTAAACACATGTACTATAAGAAAGAAAAAAATGGAAAAAGGAAAACTTCATATTTAAAATAAAAATAGACTTATGAGGTATAACATCCAAATGCAACATAACATGAAGTAAGACTTTCTTAATATCCTAATTCATACCAACTATTTTTAAAAGCCACTAATATTTGGGCATCTGGGTGGCTCAGTTGGTTATGCATCCAACTCTTGGTTTTAGGTCAGGTCATGATCTTGGGGTCATGAAATTGAGCCCCACATCAGGCTCTGCACTCAGTGGGGAATCTGCTTGGGATTCTCTCTCCCATTCTCCCTCTGCCCCTCCCCTGCATTCACACTCTCTTTCTCTCTCTCAAATAAATAAATCTTTAAAAACCACTAATATGTTTCTGAGGAAATTGAAGGGATTTGGAATATTAACTAAATAGAACACTATGGAATTAATGATCATTTTTAAGTGTTAATAATGGTACTGTAATAATGTCTAAGGGTCCTTATTTTTGACAATATATTCTGAAATATATATATACACAATTAGTTGATTTCTGAGACTTCTCCAAAATAATCTGAAGAGAATAGATGAAACAAGACTGGCCATGTGTTGGTAACTGTTGAAGCTGAGTATCTGGTACGTGGAGATTTATAATTCTATTCCCTCTGCCTATACATATGCTTGAAAACTATTACAATAAAAAAAAGCTTATTTAAAAAATTAACATCTTTGGGATGCCTGGGTGGCTCAGCCGGTTGGGTGGCTCAGCCAGTTAAGTGGCTGCCTTTGGCTCAGGTCAGGATCCTAACTAAGGTCCTGGGATCAAGTCCCATATCAGGCTCCCTGCTCAGTAGGGAGCCTGCTTCTCCCTCTACCTACCACCTGCTTCTCCCTCTGCCTGCCACTTCCCCTGCTTGTGCTTGCTCACTTTCTCTTTCTCTCTCTCTGAGTTAAAAAAAAATAAAAAGATTAACCAAAAAAAATTAAAATCTTTTATGAATTTAAGCAATAATATTTAAACATTTTTCTACCCCAGATAAAACAATCACTTTGGTGAACATTCAAGAATCTCAAGTCATTTCATGTCTCTAATTATATTAATATAGCCTAATGAAGATTTTTAAGTTTCATAAAATAGGGGCGCATGGGTGGCCCAGTCAGTTAAACGTCCGACTCTTGATTTCAGCTCAGGTCATGATCTCAGGGTCGTGGGATCAAACCCCACGTTGGGCTCTGCACTCAGTGTAGAGTCTGCTTGTCCCTCTCCATCTGCTCCTCCCCCACTTGCACACTCGCTATCTCTAAAATAAATAAATAAATAAAATATTTAAAAATAAAAGTTGCATAAAATACTGCTAATAGGGAAAAGCAAGTATAACTAAAAATCTGTGGTGATTACAACATTCTGTTCTTAATATACTGAGTAATGTGTGTGTGAATCTATTAAAGTCATATTTTTTGAAATCATAAATAATAACTGGTTTACCTCTCTCAATTTTTCTCGCTCACGTTCCCTCTCAGCAATACGTTTTCGCCTCTCTTCCTCTTCCTTAAGAGCATTTTGTGTCTCAGTTCTTAGTTTATCATCTTTAAGAATCTTTCTAATTTTCTTTCTGCCTTTTCCAGGAGACTTGGAATCGTCATTTTCATCTTCTTCTTCTTCCTCTTCCTCTTCCTCTTCTTCTTTATCTTCTTCAGAATTACTCTACGGAATTTAAATGATCAAAGTAAACACAAAGTTATCTAATTTACCTATTTCTTATTCCAATAATTAATATGCCAAGGAAAGGTGAAAGAGAACATACTGAAAAGCTTTAGAATTATACTTTGCAATAAAAAAGAGCATTAAAAAACAACCCAGAAAAGGGGGCAAAGAAATGCAACAGACATTTCTCCAAAGACGATACAGAAATATCCAATAATCATGTGAAAAGATGCTCAACATTACTTGTCATTAGGGAAATTTAAATCAAAACCATAAATGAGATACTATCTCACACCCGTTAGGATGGCTATTAGAAAAAGAAAAAAAAAAAAACAGAAAATAACAAGTTTTGGTGAGAATGTAGAAAAACTAGAAGCCTGGTGCAGTGGGAAAACAATGTGATGGTGCCTCAAAAAGTTAAACATAGAATTACCAGATGATCCACCAATTCCATATTTCAGATTATAACCAAAATATTTAAAAGCAGGGACTAAAATATTTCTACACCCACATTCACAACACCATTACTCAAAATAGCCTAAGATGGAAACAACCCAAATGTCCATCAACAAATGAATGGATAAACACAATGTGATATATACATGCAATAGAATATTATTTAGCATTAAAAAGAAAGGAAATTGTGATATAGTCTACAACACAGATGAACTTTGAAAACATTGTCAGTGAAATAAACCAGACACAAAAGGACAAATACTGTATGACTCCACTTAATATGAGGTACCTAAAATAGGCAAATTCACAAACACAGAAATTAAATGAGGTTACAAGGGGCTGGGTACAGAGTTTCCAATTTTGAGTTTAATTAAGACCACTGAAATGTACACTTAGAAATGGTTAAAAGGATCATTTAAAAAAAAAGACCCCCTTCCCCCCACCAAGGAGAACATGAATTAATCATGTTACAGATTCATTCTGTACTCACAGGGCGAAACATACTACAGAGAACTTCTACTTTACATAATCCTGCTTATATATAAGAAACGAATTTGCTAACAGTCACTTCTGGAAGAAATTTATTCACACATAGTCATTATTCAGGATAAAATGTTTTATGTCTTCAGAAAATAGAACACTACTCATCAACTTTATAGCCCTAAGAGTGTAAACTAATGAAAAAGAGCAACTTAAAATTTCCATCAGATTTAGTTAAGAAACAGAAAAAAAAATCAACAATGTGTCATACTATTTCTGCATACTTATACATTCAATAAGTCAATCCTTCTACAAAGGTGTGAAAATGTAAATAAACCAGCAGAATTAAACTAACAAATGGAATGCAGAAAAGGAGGTAACATCAAGCACATAATAAATGTCTCACCTTGTTTTCACTCGATGAGTCTTCTTGAACCTTAATGCGTCGCCTTTTCTTTTTCTGTTTATAACTCCGCTGATTTTCTTCCAACTCTGCTTTCTTTGCAGACCTAAAGAACATTTAAAAGGCAAAATGAAATACTTCATGATGAATTTCCTTAAATTAACTGCATACTATTCTACAGCTAATTTCCCTCTGTGTACATTCCTTAAAAAGACAAGGAAAACAAAAAGCAAAAACTCTTCACTAGATAACCCTTAATTTTAATCCAGTGATCCATATTTTAAGCTATTCAGGGGGGAGGTTTGGCCTAAGTAATAAGATGGATGAGAGCACCTGGGTGGCTCACTCAGTTAAGAATCCAACTCTTGATTTCAGCTCAGGTCATAATCTCAGGGTCATAGGATCCAGCCCCACATGAAATCTGCTTTAAATTCTCTCTCTCCCTCTCCCTCTGCCCTTCCCCTGACTTAGTCTCTAAAATAAATAAGTTAAAAAAAAAGATGGATGGAGGGTCTTATTAATAGCCAATATACAAATGAAAAATATACACCATCTCTTAGGGAGAAAAGGCAGATTATAAGGGCTAGAGACTGTTTTCTTCATACGACTACACATACATTAAAAAAAGAAAACAGTAACAACTTTTGGCAAAAAAAGGGCTTCTGGGCTTAGAAACTGGTGTACAAAGTTACGTATATAAAGACAGTACATTCAGGTCATAAATAGCAGACATACAGATCAATGAAAGAGAAAAGTGAGTCCAGAAATAAAATGTTACATTTGTGATCAACCGATTTTCCACAAGAGTGTCAAGAAAATGCAACAGGTAAAAAAAACCATCTTTTTGATTAATGGTGCTGAGACAACTAGCTATCTACATGCAAAGGAATGAAGTTGGACCCCTATCTTACATCACATACAAAAATTAACTCAAAATGGACCAAAATCCCCCTAATATACATGTTCTACCTAACAAGACTACTCATTATTCCATTGTTGAAAAACTGAAAAAACAGTTATTTACCTATTACGCTGGGGGGAGAAAAAAAATGACCTCTATTAAGACAGTCTGAAAATATGTACGACAGGAGAGAGTTAAAATGGCGGAATAGAAGGACCCTAGGCTTGCCGCACCCCTCAAACACAGGTAAGTAATTATCAAATCACTCTGAATACCCAAGGAATAGACCTGAAGACTGATAGAACAAACAGCACAGTTAGAGGGAGAGAAGAGGGCACATTTGGGAAGGTGGTAAGTGTGGAGAGGTGGTTTAGGGGAGAAATGTATCATGGTTGCTGCAGAGGGGAAGGAGCCCTGGTGGCAGAGAAAGGCGAGAGAGAGCAGAGCACACAGGGATGCACACAAGAGGAATACTTCCCCAAAGCCACTGGCTGAGAAAATGAAAGGGGCTGATTTTCATGAGTTTTTGCAACCAGAGGGGCTCAAAGGCTGGAGTTTTAAAGGTCCCTGGGCTTGGCTGGGGTAGAGACCTGAGGGTGCTGCCCTACTCCTAGACAGAAGGCAGGCAAGGAAGCAACTTGCAGGCAGATGACACGATCTGAGGATCACCTAAGGTGCAATGGGAGAGACTATTCCCTCCTCTTGGAGTGCATTTATGAGAGTTGGCATTGCATGTCCAGGGAGAAAAGAACCAGCAGGCGCCATCATCCCTACACTGCACACCTCAGCATAGGTGCAGACACACCTGCTGAGAGCAGCTAACCTGTACACTGGATGTGTGGCCTGATTTGCTCCAAATCCAATGACCCTGCACTCTGGAGTGACTGCCCTTCTGGGTCAAACCTGCATTAGTCCAGGCATGGCAAGACTCTCCCACAGAAGACCAGTGCAGATGCCCACCACACCAGGTCCCTAAGTTTGAAATTTAAAAAGTCAGCAGGGGGTGGCTCAGTTGGTTGAGCGACTGCCTTCGGCTCAGGTCATGATCCTGGAGTCCCGGGATCGAGTCCCACATCGGGCTCCCTGCTCAGCAGGGAGTCTGCTTCTCCCTCTGACCCTCTTCCCTCTCGTGCTCTCTATCTCTCATTCTCTCTCTAATAAATAAATAAAATCTTAAAAAAAAAAAAAGTCAGCAGGTTTAGCTGGAATAAAGCCCAAAACGCACTGTATTGCTCTAGGCAGGCAAGCAACCTAGAGACAGTATGAAAACAATTATCTGAAAAACACCTAGGATGCACAAGGGGAAATTATTCACTCTTCTGGGAGTGCATTACTGAGAGCAGCAAGCACAGACTCCCCTCTACAAGGAAAAAAGACCTGGCTGACATCATTTCCCTCCCCCACCCCTCAGCATAAACCAACTTTAGGAAATAGTACAGCACCAAAAGAAGTATCTAATCTGCTTATACCAATTCTCACACCCCTGAGCTACACTGTTACTGCTTTTCTCAGGCAAGTATCACCAAGAAACAGGGCAGGAGACCCCATCCCCAGAAGACCAGCACAAACCCAGGCACGCAAGACATCTACTTAACCATAGAGTGCTGCAAAGCTTCCATTCTAGTGGAAATAGCATCAGGTCTCTTTTAGAAAGCAGACCAAAGCACAGCTACTTAAAACTTGCCACACTCTGGCCAGGCTCCAAACACCAGGCAAGGAGAACCTCTACAGACAACTAAACCGAGGGATAGAGTAGCCAAAATCCAGCAGCAGAGTGCATGCAGCACACACCAGAGACACTTCCTGAAGCGCCAGGCCCTGGACAGTATATGACCTCTTCTTCAAAAAGCCATTACTCTCAGGAGCAGGGAACATAACAGGCTTCTCTAACATACGAAGACAGAAACCTAGACAAAATGCCAAGAGACGGAGAAATTCATCCCAAAAGAAAAAACAAGAAAAGGTCATGGACAGAGATCTAATGGAAACAGATATAAGTAATATGCCTGATGGATAATTTAAAGCAACAATCATAAAGATAGTCACTGGACTTCAGAAAAACATGGAAGACATCAGGGAAACCCTTCCTGCAGAAATAATAAAGGTAAAAAGACAATTAAGCAAAAATGAAAAACGTAGTAACTGAGATTCAAAACAAACGATGTAATTACCACAATGATGGATGAAAGAGATGTAGAAACAAGTTATACAGAAAACAGAATTATGGAAAATAATGAAACTGAACAAAAGAGAGGAAGAATAATGATGGATCATGAGAGTAGACTTGGGGAATGCAGTGACTCCATCAAATGTAGTAACATTCGTATCATGTGCATCCCAGAAGAAGAGAAATTAAAGGGGGCAGAAGGTGTATTTGAGAAAATAATAGCTGAAAACTTCCCTAATTTGGGGAAGGAAACAGACATACAGATCCAGGAGGCACAGAGAACTCCCATCAACATCAACAAAAGCAGGATAACAAGATATACTGAAGTTATATTTGTAAAATATAGTGACAAAGAAAAACTAAAAGCAGGAAGACAAAAGAAATCCTGAACTTACAAGACCCAAAAGGATAGCAGCAGATCTAGCCACAGAAATTTGACAGGCCAGAAGTCAGTGGGCATGATATATAAAACGTGCTGAAAGGGAAAAATATGCAAACAAGAATACTCTATCCAGGGGAGCCTGGGTGGCTCAGTCATTAAGCGTCTGCCTTCGACTCAGGTCCTGATCCCAGAGTCCTGGGATCGAGCCCCGCATCGGGCTCCCTGCTCCGCGGGAGGCCTGCTTCTCCCTCTCCCACTCCCCCTGCTTGTGTTCCTTCTCTCCGCTGTGTCTCTCTCTGTCAAATTAATAAAATCTTAAAAAAAAAAAAAGAATACTCTATCCACAAAGGCTCATGGATTGAAAGAACAAATATTGTTAAAATGCCTATACTACCCAAAGCAACCTACAAATTTAATGTAATCCCTATCAAAATACCACTAGCATTTTTCACAGAGCTAGAACGATCCTAAAATTTGTATGGAACCACAAAAGACCCTGAATAGCCAAAGCAATCCTGAAAAAGAAAAGCAAAGCTGGGGGCATCATGATTCCAGACGTCAAGCTCTATCACAAAGCTGTAGTCATCAAGACAGTGGGGTACTAGCACAAAAACAGACACATAGATCAATGGAACAGAATAGAAAACCCAGAAATGGACCCACAACTATACGGTTTACTAATCCTCAACAAAGCACAAAAGGATATCCAATGGAAAAAAGAGTCTCTTTAACAAATGGTATTGGGAAAACTGGACAGCCACATGCAGAAGAATGAAACTGGATCACTTTCTTACAGCATACGCAAAAATAAATTCCAAATGGATGAAAGACCTAAATGTGAGACAGGAGAGGAGTACGCAGGCAGTAACCCTGCCATCGGCCTTAGCAACGTCTTACTAGATAGGTCTCCCGAGGCAAGGGAAACAAAAGCAAAAATAAACTATTGGGACTTCATCAAGATGATAAAATTTTTGCACAGCAAAAGAAACCATCAACAATACTAAACAGCAACCTTTGCATTGTGAGAAGATATTTGCAAATGACATCTGATAAAGGGTTAGTAACCAAATACATAAAAAACTTATAAAACTCAACACCCAAAAAACAAACAATCCAGTTTAAAAATGGGCAGAAGACATGAATAGGGAACTTTTCCAAAAAGACATACAAATGGTCATCAGACACATGAAAAGATACTCAACATCACTCATTATCAGAAAAATACAAATCAAAACTACAATATGCTATCACCTCACACCAGTTAGAATGGCTAACATTAACAACAAAGGAAACATCAGATGTTCGCGAAGATATGGAAGAAAGGCAAACCCTCTTACACTGTTGGTGGGAATGCAAACTGGTGCAGCCACTCTGGAGAACAGTATGGAGATTCTCAAAAAGTAAAAAACAGAACTACCCTATGATCCCCAGTATATGCACTACTAGGTATTTACCCAAAGGATTAAAAATACTGATTCAAAGGGATACCTGCACCCTGTAGCTTACTGCAACATTATCAATAATAGCCAAATTCTGTAAAAACCCCAAATGTCCCCCATCTGATGAATAGATAAAGAAGATATATGTATATATATATATATATAATGAAATATTAGTCATCAAAAATAATGAAATCCTGCCATTTGCAATGACATG